GACGAAAGACTCTTTGGTAATTACACGATCAACAACTTCTCGAAGAACCCACTGCTTTTTCGTGACCTCCAATGAGGAAGTTTAGAACAGCTGATTATAGTCGCATATGCTTGACGACTGCACCATCCCACATCAAAAATCGATGCGAACGTACGGGATCAGGTCGCGTATGACCTCCGGGCATTCGTCCCTGCCATTCATTGTAGGGTTTTTGGCAGTGATCCAAAAAGCCTCAAGGAGTTTTCGCGCTGGTGTTTTGGATTCCTGTGCAAGGATATTGACTTTAATAGGATAATTCGTCTATTATGAGGTGGAAGAGTATTGTAGCTATAAATGGGTAACTTCATGAAATTGAAATGATCTATCGAAAGTAAATAAAAATCTTTAAAACAAAGATATAATCGTTTGCATGGAACTTGAAGATTTTATTTTCTCATGATTGTTGTTGAACCCTGGTGAAGCTAATTTTGTTCGAAATTCTTAGACAACCCTATCGGAGAGCTCGGAGAGGAAATCACGAAAAAGCGGTGGGTTTTTCGAGAAGTTGTTGATCGTGTAGTTACCAAAGAGTCTTTCGTCTTTGTGTAAGTGTTATTGAAGCGTTTGGCCTAGTAGATTGTATATCAGTATATCCTTCCAGGCTCTGAAGAAGGCGATACTGCCGAAACGTCAGCTAGCGTTGTATTGTATTGTGTTTTTATGGAAGTAAATGTATGCTGTTTAAAAACCTCGCGATTGCTGAACAAGAAAACGACACATTCATATTCCAATGCCGAGGTTAAGAGAAAGTCGTTCCTGGGAAATAAACGTTATTTTATAACGGAATCCGCATCGCAGACAATCACTGCTATAATTATATCTAAATAAAGTAACACTTTTTCACTAACACCACGGTTAGAGAAAAAGAAACTAAAATTAAATGGGGTAGAAACACAAATGGGAGACAGATTAATGCATAACTAAGTTAAAGACAGGTGAAACGAAAGACCCGCATGGTGTGGTGGCGAACACGTTAGCCCCGTAGCCCCGTAAGGGGTAAATAACGCGTTCGTTCCCCACTCTCAGCATTCATTGCGGTTGATTCACACATAATACCCTGCCATAAGCAAATAATAGGCAGTAAACAAAAAAGTTAACATTGCAACACATAGTTAGTTCCTCGTCTCATTAATTCTAAATTACCTTGTTAAAAAGAGATTCTACTGTCTAAAATTTTATTGTGATGTTTGCTGTAATCTTCATGCCTCGTGTACGATTCTAGTTAGGTCTAATCTTTTTTGACACTTAGTGATAACGGTAGTGATGACGACGATGATGAAATCCAAACCCATGACGTCGAAACGACATCTACACCCCAGAATAACCAAGCCCTCTAACCCTCGAAGAGTTGGCAGATTGCTACCAGGAATCTATGGAACGATGAAAACACTGATCTATCCGTTTGAAAAATGCTGGTAAGATTCGCTACGTGCTAGCCAATACAATATCGACTGCTGCAGGATGCATTGAGGCCCAAAATACAAATCATATTGAATGATGACAGTGGATCAACATCTGGCCTATAGAAGAAAAAACCGTTGAATAGGAATACTCGTTGGATCGGTGCTTTAGTTCACTGGATTCAACTCGATTCGACAACGAGCAACCACATAGCGCGGATGACCGACCGCCTGCGCACTATCGACTCGGATCAATCCGGCTCTGAAGAGGACTAAGACGGCGAAACGTTAACCGAATAAGTTTTTTTTCTCAACCTTCTGTCTGCTTAATGATCGCAGAAGGTACTGTTTTAATTGATCCATGGTCATTTCGGAGATGTCGCAAATCCCAATGAATAGCATATGAATAGCTAAGCAAATGATAAACGTCTTCATCCTTTAACATCACCGATTAGGCTTATATCATTAAAAACAAGATATTGTTTAATTATACCGAAGTTAAATAAGAGCCGAATTTTAAAAAGATAATCAAATCTGCAGCGATATTAGTTCAAACGAGATTAAATAAACGGACACGTAAATATCCCGTAAGCCGTGCCGCATGACGTCGTTGTTCACCGACAACACATGAACCTGGTTAGGAACTACCGATTGAAATATTCAAAATCTCAGTGGTGTAAAGAGATCGAAGTGAATAAATGAAATGATTTACAGATTCATAATACATTAATGATTCTGCGACAGGCGAAACGAAGGACCCGCATGGTGTGGTGGTGAACACGCTAGCCCCCGTAAGGGGTAAATAACGCGTTCGTTCCCCACTGCAGACACCTACGGTGCGGAGTTTTGCAAATATCTCAGCATCACTGTGGCGAAATGATTTATTTTTAGCCAATGAATGTCATCTTTTATTCCCTAAAAAACAGCATGAAAAAAGTACTTATGAAGATTCAAACTACATTGGTTGATAACAGAACAGATATCTGGATCTATTTACTACCATACAGTAGGAAATATTTACATGTGCATTTCCAGTTAAAAAAAAAACTGCAAATACTACCATCTAAGGAGTACCCGAGATCTTGTAACGATTGATAGAATACGATAACGAAACAACACTAAATATGGTACAACGATGAAAGTCTAAAGTATTCATAGTTATTGATCGGTTCTATTAATGAAGTGATAACGCCAATGGCAAGTGATATACAAACTAGAACTACAATATAAGCTATGAAAATCATCGCGATGGAAGTGGACAGAAATAGAACTAATAGAACTGATGTGTGACTTCCTAGCGCGAATCTTCGCAGGATTGTTGTTTATTAATTTTCGATAAAAGAAAAAGCGCTATACAACGAATAGCAATGACAATGACAGCACTGAAAAGTTGACCACTTCTCAACTGAAAAAACTATCACGTTTTTCAATGTTGCTGAGATATTTGCAAAACTCCGGACCGCAGCTGTCTGCCGTGGGGAACGACAGTGGAGCGTTACTCCCCGGAAAGGACAACAGCTCGTTCGTTCCCCACCGCAGACACCTGCGGTCCGGAGTTTTGTAAATATCTCAGCATTAGAAGGTTATATTTCGCAATATACCCTGCCGTTAAAAAGAATAGGCAGTAAATAGTAAGTTAAAACTATCAGGTTTTTTTTCCATGAGGAATTGTAAAAGTAGATTTTGACTTAATAAATACACGTGCTAGAAAAGAGAAATCGCATTCTTTTCCTGTGAACAAAAATCAGATCATCTGTTACTAAAGACTACAATGCTGAATGATTATGCAATCGATACCTATGATTTACATTACCCAAATCATCCACTCTTTTCGGACATTTTGTTGACAACTAAATTATGCACGCCTAGACATATTAAAATTTTCTGCATAAATCTGGAAGATTAGCCTTCTAGTGGATGATCTGACGGGCGTGATTGTGATGGTGTCAGAATACTATATGGACTTTACCGAATTATCCTAAGCAAAATGAATGTCCTTGCATAGTCGAACTATTCACGAATAGAATTAAGCTCAGAAATCATTGTACAGAATCAATGACAAGCTACCTCTTAGGAAAGTTGAACAATATCGACTGAATATTCTCAAGTGTTACAAGTTAGGATAGAGTATTGATTAGTCAAAATCATAGGTATTTTTTTATTCGTCCCAACAATCTCCATCGTTTCTGTTCTACTTCTTCGGCTAACCAATGTAGATGATCTTCTATTACTGACTTTGATACGTGTAATCGTGTGTCGTAGTGCCACTTAACGTGCTTTGACGTGCATTCTAAACCCGTATCGAATTAACGATCGAAAATAGTCGACAATACTCGAAGAGTATCGATTATTCGACAGAATCCCGACTAGATAGAAGACGATAAACAAAACCTATTTTTCTTGTTATTGATTTCGCGAAGTGCACCGCAAAACTCATCCATCTAATCTTTTAAGTACAGTTTTACCTTTCGTCTTCAAGACACTTCATATTTTTTGAAATAGCCCATCGATTTCTCATCCGTTTTATCTGTTCCCATCTTCGTTACCTCTTCAATATACCGTCTATTTTAACTCCTTCCTCATATGTGATACTCTTACTATCTCTGCACCTTCCGCAACAGCAACGATCTCTGAACTTTATCTTAGAAGGCACAGGAAAGAGTTTCTCTCGGTCGACGCCCGCTGCAATACCTTCATTCAACAGGCTCCCGAAGAAATACCAGAAGTTTACCAAAAATCGCTGTGTGGAAAAAAGGAGGCGAATAGATTTGAGTCATATACGATTCATGCTGGCCAAATTCCCAATGATGAACCTACATGATTTCCACCGTCGCAAGTATTTTAGTAAATTTGCTTTCACAGTAAAAAGGCTTTTCGAAGTCCGTATAACAATAAAAGAAAACCGTGGGTGCCTCGGCTTTCCCACTTACTTTTCAACTTTTTTCTTCCGGATAGAACTTAGTTTGAGACATTTGGAACTGATAAGCTTACCTTCCATGTCCAAATCCTTTTTTAACAGTGGGTACCAGGTGAATCTTGAAGCGAATAATGACCTTAATAACTTAATATTTCTATAAAAATTTAAAGCTGGTTTTAACAGTTCTCTTATGTTTCCTTTTTCACTTTTACATTTGCAGCTAATTGCTGCTTATAATTTATATTCCTTGATGAATTTTATTAAGGCCTTCTGCAAACATTCCAGATGGAGAATATGAGATGTTAAATGTAAAACACTGAATTCTCGAAAAGAATCCAAGAGACACACCCGGGATGCATTGGATACAATGCATTGGATTAAAAAATAATGCCTGTTTTCGACTCTCGACAAGTATCCGCTCATATTAAGCTATATGGGTAAAAACAAAGAAAGACTGGAACCCAGAGATCTTTATCTACAAGATGCAGATCATCTTATGTTACCTAAACTCTTTAGAAAAGTTCACTAAAAAGCCTGAGAACTGTAAAGATAAATGGCAGCAATAACAATAATAACAGTATTAGCAGCATTAATACTATTATTGTCAGTAGGTACACTGTTTCGTAACTCGATTCGACTGTCACCTACCTCAACGTCTCGAAAATTCCTTCCGGAAGCGAAGATCGATCACTTTCCTTCATTCCATGCAACATGAAATCACGCTCCGAATTCCACTTACTCTTCGTGATCCAAATATCACGAACCCAACCAGTTCCCTTTAGACACAAAGAAGGTCGTATAGATGACATTGCATGAAAAATAAATCCTCCAAATAAACTCCTAGAATCTCTCTAGAATTTGCAAAACTCTGGACCGCAGGTGTCTATGGTGGGAAAAGAACGCGCTATTGTCCTTTCCGGGGAGTAACGCGTTCACCACCACACCATGCGGGTCCTTTGTTTCGCCTGTCTCTCAGCTATTTCTATCGATCTTTGCCACAGCAATAAATTTAATACATTGGCGAACACTACAAGTCATAATACAAGGCAGATATGCATTAGAATGAAAAATCGAATAGAAGTGATGTCATTCGTCTATGTGAAGAGGAACTGTGTTCAAAAAATTGCACTCTATTTTCAGAAAGTCTGCGAAAATCTCTGGAAAGTAGTAATGAACAGCAAAAATATAATCATATCATTTGGTGACGAGAATGTCCAATCACATGTGTGAATAAGCAGAACATCCCATTCAGTGGATTTTAGAGAAAGCTTTCTGTTAAAGAAAGAGGTGTTGCCAACTCTAAAGTTACAATTAAAAGGTGGTTTCCTTTTTAAGTATGACTTTTCAAGAATATCTGCAGCATACTGCTGCTTTTCAGGCAGTAGGAACGCGTGTGGCGCAGTGGTCGGAGGCGTCCTGCAACACACACACATGGGATAGGATTCCCCAGTGCCCATGGCCCACCAAGCCTTCCAACCTCCCAGGGTCGGCAAATTGCTACCAGACGTGTCTTGGAGTATGGCAGCACTGGCTCGATACATCTGTAGACCACCGCGAGTCATTCTAAAGGCCAGGCATTCATTCAATCACCTCCAGTGATACTTAATAAGGTCGAATGTATGGCGCATGCTTTAGGGATTAATCAACGCCGAAAGCTTTATCCTTTTATTCTTTAAGACTGAATCCAAAAATAGCAAAGTTCATATGAATGAGTATAGAGGATTTCTATACCAAGTAGAGAATTCTCTATCTACCTAAAAAATATACTTATAAGTCGATAAACAATATTTCTCGTGATTGCATATAGTCTATTGTATAGTAAAGTATTTGCCACACCATCCACGTCCGTGCCCTATATTCACATCCCATCTTAACCATGGGCATCTCGTAGCCATCAAGCACACCACCAGGCATGCTATGGGGCACGCCTCATTGCCTGAGGACTACACCGCGCGACCCGAGCCTTGATCCTACGTACAACAGAAGCAAAGACGGAACGCCTCGAGGATCAGAAAAAGCTGTGTGAAACCCTTTACGCGATAGATCAAAATGGGGAATTTATCGATATCCTGAACCTACAACGACTAATAGTTCTGCTAGGGCTGTTTTAGAGCTGATTAGAATTGGTTGAGCTTCACATAGTAGGTCTGCTTTTGAATGTCTTTTCTTGCTGATTTCTATGTTCCGTTTTTAAGGTAGGTCTTTCTTCCTCTCGGTCAAGTAGTTCGAGTTCCTCTCTTATGTATGCTTTGACATCTTTCAGCAATTCGCATGTTTTCGTGTCTTCTGATTACATGCAGTCACGAGAAATATTGTCTATCCACTTATAAGGTCTATTTCTTAGGTAAATAGAGAATTCTGTATTTGATGGAGAAATTCTCTATATTGAGTCAAAACATGACAGGATACCATAGACCAGGAATAGCACTGTATCTATTGTGACCACTATACTTATACCCAAAAATAAATAAAATAAATACTGTAGAGGCGTCGAACACGAATTTGTCAGATTCCGTGTAATGACACTTGGTTCAACCCCGTCATTGGCAAACCAGACTCTCTAGTCCACAAGGGCAAAAAAGATAGGAATAAATAAAAACAGAACAAAGCAAAGAAAAATCACCTTCCGTAAGATTCGAACCTTGTCAAAGATTCGTTGTGATCCTAAAACTGAACGAATGCATGCCTCAAAAAGGAACAGATCAATATAGCTGTTCGATCGACTCCAAATTGAATAGCACACTTTGGCTTCGGGACGATAATCCGAGGCCAGTGTTTCGAGAATATAAGCCTAAACAATTATGAGCAGTTGGGACCAAACCATTCGACTAAGAAATATCTGGGAAATGCTGAAAATCAACGAATCAAACAATAAAGCTCGAGTATCGATCGAATTCACTTCGCCCCCATTAGGAAGCTGCGTCCACAAATAATCACTCTCACTTACATGAATGGCACCGTTATCGCTTCCATGAAAAGAATCCGGTAGCTTAGATTCATAATCGGCAAAATCTCGAAGAAACGATCGTGAGAATGGTGTGTTTTTCACCAAATACGATCCCATTGCTATTTCCCAACTACAGAATCGGTCGTAAAATGTAATGTCGTAGCGAGTATCCACGTATTCTTCGATCAATCTAAAGCATATGCTCTCTAAACTATCATGTAAAAGAAAGTGTACCTCATCGATTTGTTTAGTTAACAAAAAGACGTAGAAGTCTGCTTGTATCTTGTAGGAATAGGCGCGCGTAGCGCAGTGCTCGGAGGCACCCCGGAATATACATGGGATCGATCCCCGCGCCCCAGGCTTGCTAAGCCATCCATCCCTCCTGGTCGGCAGATTATTGCCAGAATTGTCTGGGAGGATAGCAGCACTGGCTCGATACATCGGTAGCCACCGCGAGTCATTGTAAAGGTCAAATGTACATTCAATCACCTCCAACGATGCTTAATGAATTTGAATGCATGGTCCAACCATTAGGGATTGATTAACGCCAAAGACGTTACCCTTTATCCTTTATTTATCCTGTAAGCAAAGCATAGCAAACAATATCGTTTAGTCACACTTAAGGGAAAGGACGAGGTCAAAAGTCAAGGATCGACTTTTTTAGTTCTTTTCTTGCAAAAATCACCTTTGCATGCTCTCGAAAACGATTGGATTGTCATTACCTTGTTGGATTCACAACACCGATATCAGCATCGATGAACAGCACCCACTCGCTGGTTTCCAGTATTGTCGCCACAATGCAGTGTCGTCGAAACATCGGCTGAATATCAGTAGAAAGCCAAGAGGATGGAAAACGAAAAAGGAAAGGGAGGAGGAGAAGAAGAAAGATGGATGAAGAACTAACATCTCGTTGTTGACATTGGTTATATTCGCTTCCTGTCACCAATCGTAGCGGATATTTATGCATAAGTGAATAACATCGAACAGTGTCCAGTGCAAGCCTAAGATATTATTATGAATAAGCTCATTGTAGATGCAACTGATAATGGTACAAATGGTGTTATGTATTGAAGTGTAACAGTTCAGACATGTCATCCAGAGTTCAGTCTCCGTCGTGGTCTATCTAACGCATACTACATAATCATATTAACCGCAATTTTCTTTAAAACATCATACTATATTGGATTCTACCTACTGCTATAAAAATCTTTCACTAGATCCCAATTTCTTCTGTCTTCATGGTGCCGTAGAGTCAGTAGCTTTCATTTCACTCGATAGTAATCTGATGGAATCAATAGCAAAGCATTATTTACTCACATCTTTCTTTCTCTGATAACTTTTAAGACTAAGGCAAATTAGATTTTGTCTTCTTAATGTCTAATTTTTCGAGGCGTAGAGAACGGCGAGGTCGACTAAGATGAAGAGCGAAACTGAGCATTTCAAGCTTTTTTCCCTTTCACCCTTCGTCCTACTCAACTCTGGAGTTAAGTCGTTTATCATGTCCACTTACCGAACCAGATAAGCTTAGCTGGAGAATTCGGAGCTATTCATTCCGAAATGGGACATACGAAACCAATCCGTTCCTCATGAACATGATTTCTGTGACATTTAATCGAAGACCAATCTTTCCATGGGCGTTATCAAAGTCGCCTGTTTCCGTACCACCTGGCTAATGTTTTATGTTATAACAAGACATTACCAATAAAGCGGAAATGGTGTGATTGTTAACCATCGACTTTCACTCCAGTCTTGTTCCAATCCACTTCTCGCATAGCATTCTGGAGGGATAAGGATATAATAAAAAGATAAGAGATAAAGCTCTCTGCATTGATCAATCCGTGAAGGACGTGCCATGCGTTCACTTCATCAAGCATAGTAGAGGAGATTGAATGCATATCTGGCCTTTACAATGACTCACGGTGTTTTACCGATGTGTCAAGTGCTGCTATCCTCCCAGACAATTCTGGTACCAATTTGCAAAAGCCAGGTGATGGAAAGCTTGGTGAGACTGAGCGTGTGATCACAATTAACCATGTTGTAGATTGTAGATCCCCTCTTACCACTGCGCTACATGCTGTAGAATGTTGACCACTTGTTTTAACGGAGTCAAACATCCTACTAAAGGACTGAACTGCGAATTCTTTCGTTCTAGGATATTTTTAATACCCTGTCAGATTGTTTTCTTACCTTCACTATTCATACTTTTTTATTAATGGTTCTAAGAAGGAATCACGTTCAAACCTGTATTCATCCAAACTCGATTTGTCGTAGATCACCACCACAATGGTGATGTTCAACGATCGATTAGCTGGTCGTCTTATATCGATTTCCAATTTACGGTCACGATCGTTTTTTTTTCGATCTCTAGCAAATATTTCCTCAAATAATCAATAATGTCCTGTTGGTGGATCAAATTTAATATAATCATATAAGTCTAGCTATTAACACGTTACTATTTTCTAATTAAAAAGGACAAATTTTTCTTACAGATTTTGTTGCATTTTTTGATGGACTAAGGAGACGCTCGTGTTGAAGAATGAATATGAATAGACAGGCTACTACTAGTAAAAGTATAATTTGAAAGAGCAAGTGTATTCGAAATGCTATTCTTCCTTGTCGGAACATCTGCAAAAATGTCATAGAAATAAAGAGGAAGAAAAAAAGAGAAAGAAAGGAGAGCGGGGAAAAAGTCAGAGAGAGAGAGTGAGGATAGAGAGTGAGTGACGGAGGGAGAGAAATAAGAAAAAAAGGAAAGAGAGTGTGAATTTACTAAAAATGTAATGAAACCATGCAGTGGCAATTCCGTCTGTATTGAAGCTATGGACTGGCAATCCAGTCCGTACTGAGGCTATGGGCCGCAATTCGCTCGTAGCAGTCTGTGTGGTTTATGGAGGTTAACACATTCATTTCTTTTTTCCGTACCACTTTTCTTCTTTTCCTTTTATTCTGCACTCGACAAAATGTCATAGAAATCGAAGCATTATTGATTGGATAATTTGAAATTGGAAAATTGTACTTCATGAAAAATCAGGAGAGGAAGATGCTGCTGTTGGCGAATGTAGCCATCTTTTTTCTTCGATGAAAACAACTAGAAGAAAGTAATTTTCGTATCGTAGCTGGGGTCCAAGTGACACAGAACAATGTGTACTTCACTGAAAGCTGTGAGTGAAACAAGGGTAGATCATCGAAAAGCGAGAGAAACAATCGATATTTACTCCAATAGCTACTGATTAGTTACCTAGTCGTACTTTAACTTTCTTTCTTAGCATAAAAGGGAACCCTTCAGCTCGTAAAACCGCCTAGAAAAAGCAACAATTTGGTTCTTCCTGCAATACGACTGCACTTTTCTCACTGAAATAAAAGTGCTCATTGTTTCGTAAGAAAGAACGACGTCGTCTTGAGGCGAAATGGCGATCTCAGGTAGTTAATACAATTGGTCCAGTACAATAGTAATTTTATGCTATTACAAAAGTAGTACACTTTAGTGCTTATGCAGAATCTGAGTACAGAGCTTCCAACCGACTGTAGTGTCCCAGCATCTTCTAAGGAAGGTGGAGGAAAGCACAGGTGGGAGAAAGTGGTGAAAAATGTGGATTCGTGTAACGCACGAGGCGTGTTATATAGGTCTTACGCGCTTTCTTGATCCAACAAGATCCGATCACAGATTAAAGACAAAGATCCGTTGCTCCAGCGTTAGTGTCTCTTGGTGAATCGTGTCTTAAGCATCGTTCATAACCGGACAATGAAGCAAAGCTGACAAAGAAGCGATATCGCATCCGGCGTAGATCAGTTTCTCAAAGAACGTCCCATGCATTCGACTCCATTCGTAGCGCTTGTCTATAAGGCTGATTTTGTGCATACTAAGTCTACAGAATAACTTCCGGTGCTCTACCGATTTTGCCAAGTCAGCACTGCTTTCCTCTCAGACGTGCCTGGCCACTAATTTATCATCGGCGGAAGAATACAGAGCTTGGTGAGCCTTGGGAACGCATTGAGCAAGCAGTATGTAAGTGTTGCTGCGCATCTCTTCGAAGTCTGCAGAGAAACACACCACTGTTATAGCAGTATCTTCAAAACATTTTACATGGTGTTACCTTATCAAAGGCATGGAAAACACTGCAAAGTAGTAAATCAATGTTTTTCCAAACCAATCGTCATTCGGCCTCGGCTTTAATGGTAAATACCTCTTTGGATTATTATGCTAATACGAGGTTGATAAAGACGTTTATTCGGATAACGTTTCGAAGTCCTCGTCTTTCGCATGGTCCATGATCATAGTCGACGGTTCATAATCGCTCGCCTTCTCGATGTAGCGCTTTCGTCTTCGTAACGAGTTGAATGGTCTTCAGATTATCGGCTCTGAAGAAAACGAAGACGTCGAAACGATGGCTGAATAAACATCTTGATCAACCTCACGTTAGCCTAATAATCCAAAAAGGTACTGTAACATAGTATTTTGATGACCAATATTCACATATAGGGAACGTTCTTTGGTATCTAGAGTTATAGAAAGTAGCACCCAGAGTGTTCTCAAATCTTCAACACAATCACCCGTCAGCTCGAAAAAATTGAGCAAGGAAGTTTTTACCAAATTATGTTTTGGGTTTGCAAAACTCCCTACCGCAAGTGTTTGCGTCGGGAATAAAGACCGCTATTATCCTTTCCGGATACTAAAGTGCTCGCCACCACACCATGCGGGTCCTTCGTTTCGCCTCTCTCTCAGCTAGTTTTGTCCAGTGTCATCAGCAATCACCTTCCAACGGGATCGATCTAGGAAGCACAAAGCGGCATTGAACCCACTGAGTACGTGGACCTCCGGAAAATATGACACGGATTCGATCTCTACCGCAGACACCTGCAGTCCGAAGTTTTGCAAATATATCAGCATCACTGTGGTTATATTTCACATTATACCGTGCCATGAAAAAAGAATTGGCAGCAAATAAAAAGTGAGCACACAATGTTTTTACTTTCATATCCACAACACCTCGCTTCGCGTTCTAGGTGGTATGGGTTGTATCGGCCAGTAGAATTTAATGTCTGCCCAATGTTGTAGTGTTTATGTTAGGATTCTGTGTCAGTGATGACGCAACAACAAATTTCTCCCCTGAAAAAGAAATAAGCAGAAAGTTTTTGGTGACAAAAAGAAACATCTAAATTAACACCTTCACAAGGAGAGCTGTTGTTATTAGACCTTAGCATGAAGGGAGGAGATGGTCCCTGTTGTAACAGTTCACCTAATCTTCCCACCTATCTAAGAATTCGTGGTGAAAAATTATGCTTTCTTGTCGCTGTTTGCTAAAATGGGTACTTACTTGGTCCGTCATCCCATGATAAGCGAATACTTTGACTTCTATCCATTTCACTGTCCTCTAACTATAAACTCTGCATGTAGGTGGTGGGATTTGTTTATGGGTTCAACTGCTATGTGACGATCCTTTTTTCTCTTCACGCTGACATTTCGAATGTGAATAAATGCTGTTCTCCTAGGAATCGCGAGAAATAACCGTGCCAGGGTCGTTCGCTCCTTCATTCAATCTTCACCACAAACAACCCCTGACGACCGTTAACCGAAGGGAGCTTTGCGGCTTGGTGACTAGGATTGCTTCAGTACGGAAACAATTAAATGATTAATGGAACGATCAACAGAGGACAGCAGACCGATTACCATGCAGCGCTATACAATTACCACTGCTTTTCGCTAAAAAGAAGTTCTAAAGAAGTTCTGGAACGTTGAGGAAATGTAGTTACTTTCGAGAATGTCTCGTTAAATTCTAAATGTTATGGTGATTCTAATTGAGCCTCGTCAGGTAAGAAAGCGCCCTTAGGCGTGAATATAACGAGTCAGCAGAACGTTCTCGACAGTACTGAGCTTTTACACCTGCTATCAACATGTTGGGATTGAACATCGTGATCCTAAAAATGGTTTGGAAACACGACTTGCTGTTGGAAAACACCAGCATAGTGTTTCCGTTTCGGCCAATGCATCTTTTGTTTTGGACAGTTAAGTCTTGATCATTCGCTAAAGTGTACCACCTTCCAGCGTTTCTTGTTGGAAGTATTCTTGAAACGTGAGTTGTAGTATTAAGCGTAATTTTATCTCCATGCGATAATTATAACTCGTACTAAGAAAAAACTCGACTTCTTTGGGAGAACAGAAAAGTAACCACATTTAACTCAATCATCACTAGCATCATTCAAAATAATTGACATCTGTTCATAACCATAGGTCGGAGGGCGGTGAAGTCAACTCTAGGAGGTTTTAAATGTCCTCTAAGAAGACATTATTGGATCTGTTTCTTGATTGTGTTTACTCAATGTATCAGTTGTTGGATATAAATTTATGGATCGTCAATACCTGCAGATTTCACCTGTCACACCTGTCACGGAAAAGATATTGACAGACTACGGTAAAGGAGATCTAAAAGAATATATATTGCAATGTTTCAACTTTCCAACATGTATTCTTCCTTTGATGAGCTTACACGAGGCTAATAAAGATGTTTATTTTCGACTAATGTTTCGCCGTCTTCGTCTTCATCAGAGCCCATGATCCGAGTCGGTGGTCCACGCTTGTTCTTTGTCTCGATGTGACGGCTTCGCCTTCGTGTCGAGTCAGGTCTTCCTCAGCGAGCCATATCGAGGCATACTTACTCGGTGATGCCCTTTAATGCAGGATGCTGATGGTTGATAGCTGTGATTATCCGGTGATAGTAACTTGCTTTTCCCGGACAATCAATCCTGCAGTAGTCGGTATTATTATCAGTTGGCAAAGAGCAATAACAGTACTATAAAACTAACTTTCCTTCAAGAAAGAATATATGTTGATTAGTAATACCGAGGTTAAAGGAAAACTGTTCTTGAAATATTGTCTTAACGTTTATTTATTGCTTATTCATAGTTTCATGTAAGGGTATTATGTGAAATACAACCACAAGGGTGGTAGGACACAAGCACAATATTTTAAAGCTCTCACTATTCATGAAAAATGTCCATAAACGTATTCTACTATCCAACTGACAAAGTTTGGGAAACTATGCTTCATACATTTCAATCCATCAGAGCATAAGGGAGGCAGTGACATTAATGAAGGTGCCTCTACTATGTTTACATGTTTTGCAGGGAATATCACACTTGACCACCACTAAGCACGTACACATACTATTCTCTAACTCTTAAAGGATATCCTCCCAACGGTTTACCGCCTCATCGTAGCTGGGCGGTGTTCCTGGGTGTCGGACTGCGATGTACAGCGGGGGATTCGTAGCCCCGGCAGGGTCTCCCAAGCTGAGAAGGAGTCTGGCGTTTCCATCAGGAAGTCTAACCAAGAGTAAACCAATACCAGGATCCACCACCGTCCTGGTATCAAAGTCGAATGGTGGCGAATCTTCCTCCGATCCACAACGGCCGCGACTGCCTGTCGTGGTAACGACCTGGGGAAGACTTTGGCCAGGCTGTCCTCGGGATTACAGGGAACCACAATGGCTTAACTAGCAAATCTCCGAAAAATAGTGATTATGCTAGAGTCGGCACAACTGGTGAGGATGAGTCGTTCAAGTATCAAGTAAGTAAAGAATATCCTCTACTCCCTATCTGCTCTTATTAATATGTTTCCTATGTTAGTCGTTCCAATTACATCCTTATCAAACTTTCGTTACGACATGATCATCTTTTCAAGAAGTACCAGCGTAACAGAGACGATGATTAATGAGCTTAATGAAGCGAGGAAAAAGATCGGACTATGCATAAATCGGAAGAAGACCCAGTTCGTGGAAAACTCATGGAAAACTTTGTTAACATGTTAAGGTTGTCTTCTTTTAATGGAAAACTTACTACTATCAGAATATACTTTCTTGGAACATCCAACTGAAAACAGCACATCGTTCAAAAAACGCCACCGATGGATTTCCGGTACTGTAGCTGCCAAGTGTATGTAGTCCCACTTTCGCAAATCACGGGACACGCCCCTCTCCCGCCAATCGATCGGTGCTCATTGGATTGCGGTCCTTTGTTACGTTCGGTAGGTCTCTTATTGCTTCTCTTCGGCGATTCCTGTAAAAGCGCTGTGTTGTGTGATTTTTCCAGGTCTGACTCTGAGAACTGCACCAAATCCGCTGATTCCACTGGCTGATTTTGCGTCAGAGCACGCTGATCAAAACTGTGTCATACTCTGCCCAGTTCAGTACGAGGAAAACCTCCTGATGAAGTATATCGGTGAGTCAGCTGCACCTGGTGAGAGTGTCGATGAAAGAGATGCTGAGTTTTCCAACTTCGATCCATTCATTTTTGGCGAATTACCCACCTATTGCTACATTGACCCTACTCGGCCACCAGTCAGTTTTCCCGATACCGAGAGTTCGTCATTTCCTGATAATGTGCATGCTGATTGTGAACTGAAAGAATGGAACGAAGAGGGTAACAACCATCGTCCTGTTTCCTACCAACAACAGCCGTATGTCTCATCTGTACAGAAGCCATCTCGTCGCGGTCGCCCCATGAAAGTCACCAGTACTTCGAAGATGGCCAAGTATGCGAGGAGTTATCGAGAGCAGAAGAAGAATCAGCTGCTCGCATATGAAGCTCGGATAAAGGACTTGACTGAGGAGAACGAGTTTCTTCGTTCAGAGCATAAGCGTCTCTCTGAGAGATTTGCGCGACTGACTGAGCAAGTCAATCGTCTCCGAAAGACCATTGACAGAAATTCTTACACTTATCGAGATCCTTTGCAGACTCCACATTTTAGCTATATTTCGTATGAAAAAGATTCCACCGACGACGATATGAGTAGTTTCATCAAGTTTCCGCAGTAGTGTTGTTTAGTGGTAGCAGGTTACCTCTATTGTATTCTTATTGCTTGTTGTTGAAACTGACGTTATTTAATATATAAAGTTGATTGGAATAACTTTCACTGTTTCTCTTATGTCTGGTCATTCATTACTTTATTCAGAAGGTATTTTTCTGCTGAACTTCCTACCAGTCTGGGGTGCGATGCCTTCTAACTCAGGCTTTCTAACTTGAGGTTTCAGTGCATTTGGTTGGTACGGCATTGATGTTTTCGTGCTTAGAATTTGTGATTAAAATTGCGTAACCCATGTTTTGTCGAGATTAAAAGTTAGTTTTGTTTAGTTGGAAGCTTCGCAATTAATTGACCCATCGTAGCCTGGGAGTGTGGCCCTGATGAAGCGCGTTATCGTACCGCTAACGAGGAAGGCTGACCACTTAGGGTTGTGCCAGAGTGGAGCAGTTTGGCCAAGGTGGGGTTTTGGACATTTTGTCCTAGGAGAATGTAATGGTTCTGAATTGGTGATTACAACGATGGATCATTTAAAAGATTTCAGGCTGTACTGTTAGCCAAGTAGTCGGTCCTCCGTGCCGTGCGGGGATTATCCGTGCGACCGCTGTACGGATTTGTGTTATCGGCATACACGGGGTTCCTCTTGTCTTCTGTAAAAGTGTATTATCGTTTTCTTGTGCCTATCTTGTTCTGTTAAGGAGCGACCACCTATCGTATGGCCAACGTTGCTTCTTTTAAAATAAAGATTTGTAAGGAATGTTGTTTTGTTCTGTATGCCAATGACGTTTTTGCGTCTGACGTCTATATCTTTTTTGGTAATTTCCGTTTTTCATTATTTGTTTACAAATTAGGCACAAGAACTTTGTTGCCGTTATGTTATTGCTCTGCGCATGTGAATGGAAAGTTTGTGCGGAAATCTGTGTGACAACTAGATATAGTTCTTTGTATTGCAAAAAGGCATAAACGCAAAACTTGATAGGTTTGGGTGAAGCACAAGGGTGTTGTGTGTCTTCTACTAGAGATAGAATTCAGTGCAGGGATTGTGGTGAACACCTTAAATGTTTATGTATTTTCAAAGTGTGGTGATGGGTCGGCGAAAGGACGGATAGTACAGTGTAGTGGTATAGGTCATCACAAGTATGCTGCTAGTTCGATTCCGCTGCATACCATTCAAGTTCCTCATTTCTTTAGGGTTGGGAAGTTGGTACAGGATTTGTCCGAGAAAACACCACTCAGGAATTCAAGCCCACAGATGTGTGTTGACATCGTGCATAGCAACATCAAGGTGGGGGGGGAAGGTTGGGTCCCATTTCTCACATAGGAGAAATGGGTTGCTCCTAGCCTCTTTAAGTGGTCTAACGTTTACGTCCTGCATTTCTATGGATTTTTCTGTAACGTGTTTGTATGCAGGCATGTGCGTAGATAGCGTTTGTTTACGAATAATACAAAACATAGACGTCAATGACTTGGGCAGATGAAGCAACTGTTTTCTGCACTAGTCAAGAGATTGGTGCTTGCTTGATACTTAGTCGTTATTCCGTGGAATATGAGTTATAAGGAAGAGAATTAAGTCCTTTTGGAGGTGGTAGATTAACCTGACATGTTTTGCTTTTGTTTATTGCAGAAATAAATGTTTTATGGGCTGCATTAGTTGATAGGTTTATTTAATTTCATTGAACAGCTGTTATAGTGAATGCACCAAAGGTTTTTTGTAGTTGGAGAAATAGATGCAGTTAACCTGTCCAGGGATTTTCACTTAACGTGCTAAACTGATGAAGTACAGGTGTGGATTCAGGAATAGTAGGCAGCGTTGAAAAACCTGTGACCAAAACATGGCGTCGAAACGAGGTGTTTACGAGAAATGTAGCGTCATGTCGGCACAGGAATTATCATGTGTCCACCTGGTGACTAGTGAGAATCCATGGCCGGTGCTCAAGAGAAGAGAGTTTGGTATGAGTTATCTTATGCTAAGATATTCGTAACAGCTAGAATGAGTGCTGAAAACTCGGACTATAAGTGTGTGGTGCAACAAGTATCAAGTCGTCAACCCTCAAGCACGTGCACGTCTACCCCTGGCGCTTCTACTCTCAGCTCTTGTACTCGTCGTGGGAGCAGCAAGCTGAAGCGGAAGATGTCTCGTAACCGTTGGTTACTTGCGATTGAACATCGCAATTGGCTGCGAAAGCTAGCTGGTGAGTTCTATTATTACTAAAGGCCGTTCAATTTTGTAACGGGAGCTTTACCGAACAATTTTTCCAGCTCAAAAGGTAAGAATTGCGTCAAATTGGCACTCTCCTGCAAGTCTGTTGAGATGGGAGAAAAGGGTACTTTCTTCTTGTTCACAGAATGTGTGGAAATGTGACTCACCGTACAAAACTTCAGTTTGATCGAGAATTTGAAAAGAAATTTGAGGAGAGCAGGGTGGCTCTGGAACGGTTAAGGCAAGAGCGTGATGTGTTACTCGCTAATCGTCGTCTCATCTTGAAAGGCGTTAGTTTTCGTTCTTTTTTAAGCCATTTCTTTTCTGGATGTACACATATTTTAGTGCAGCGCGCTAAAGGATTGTGCAGTGTTACTACAGATGAGGTTGGAGCAAGAAATGCATAAATCCCTCTCCGGGTTCTCCTCACCAGATGATTTTTTCTCCCCTTATAGCTGAGCAAACGAAATTCAAAATGTATGACGGGTTAGCAAAGGTATGAAGAAATAGCTTCATCTGCATATGTAGTTATTTTGACGAGTCGCAACAACCTACTAGATCGATCTCATTTCAAGAAGTGGCTTGCTCAGTTGATGTAGAGATGGAAAATTCATTCCGTCTTTCGCTTTTCGCCTTCCCTTTATCTTTGGCAGTCCAGCTTACATTTTCGATATATCTGACAAAATAAAACATGAAGTCTTGTGGGTTGAACACATGTAATAGACGGAGTTAGTTTATGTTATATGTTATTGTTCATATGACTATACAATACGGTGTACGAATTCTGACGGCAGGCATTGAAACAAACTTTATTGACTGGGTTTTAGGTGTCTATGTTTACAAATTTTGATTGATTTTCCTTAATGGTGGAAAGTCTTCACGACTTTTTTAAAATCAAGGCAGAATTTTTATCTAGTTGTACTTACAGACAATAGTTTTCATCGCAAAATAGTACCAGTTAGAGATCAGATCAAGAACTCCGAGGTATTGGTCGTGGGTCCAAGAGTTCTCATACCGCTGCTGCACTTTTCTGGTTGACATTTCGCAGGTCAGCCAGGTGACGCAGAGTTGGGCGACCATGTGGGCAATTCTGAAATTCGTCTTCAGAGTATATTTAAATGGATCGACTTAATACAATATACAAACCCATGGTTGGTCCAATATTCCAAGATGATGAATAATCTGAAATATGTGTTTGAAGAACCTTTTCACCATTTTAAACATAGTAATTGACTTACAGTTTGCATCTGGCTTGTATTGAGCGCAGTACCTATCATCACTGATTTTCGACATGCTCTAGAAGCGAAAATTCGGCGAAGTTTTGCCGGTCGGTACATCACTCCTGGGAATTCCGAAACAACTGCTAGTATTTCTTCAATGTCTGGAAAGAATTATTATCTAGACTAAATATGTATTGGTAAGTAGGTACATACCACTTTTGTCAAAATTCCAACTGTGAAGAACTGGAGTGGAAACGAGAAGTGGTACAGTGCAGCCATCCTCTAAAACCTCAAATTTCAAAATCAGTCACTATCGTTGTAAGGAAAATCCTCTTTACCTCCATCCTTAAATTCAAAGCCGAACCCGTTTGCTTCCAGAATATCCTTGTTATCTCTAAGTACTGAAGCTTGAACAGCTCCCAATTCAAGGTCTCTTGGACTGCAACAAAATCTGTGTTGGATGTTTTCATAGACAAGTAGTGCAACTGATAAAAGGATAAAACTCTCGGCGTTGATCAATCTTGAGGTATGCACCATGCATTCGACTTCACTAAGCATCGTTGGAGGTAACTGAATGAATATTTGGCCCTTATAATGACCAGTAGTGGCCTACTGATGTATTGAGCAAGTGGTGCTATTCTCTCAGACAAGTTTGGTACAAATTTGCCGACCCCGGAAGAATGGAAGGCTTAGGGAGCCGTGGGTGCAAGAATAGATCCCATGTTTATTGCAGGGTGCCTCCGACCACTGCGCCATACGCGCCTCTTGATGAGTGTATATAAAGTATGGATATTATAGGCTAAGTGACTTGGAAACCCACTGAATAAGACGTTGTGTCTCAACTCGAGCTTTTTTCTGAAACCTTTCGAAATTATACTTCTCATCACTTGCGTGTTGATCAACCAGGAACAGGTGGTTTCGTAAGAAAGTGACAATGAATCCCTTGTTAAATTGCCCGATCACTGACATTTCACGGAAGTCAGATTTCCTGAACTCCAGTCGTAAGAACAGATCATTCAACACTCCATTTATCTTAAGAACTCACTTTAGAGTTCGATTCAATTCCTCTTCAGCTGTTTTGTTTTCATCTGGAACTATGGAGGCCGAAAATTCCAATTCTTGGCTGGAATAACTACTTCAGCGCTAGGTAAGTTCCGATAGTTTGTAAGGAAATAACCTTGCTTGCTCTTCTTTTGCCCTAATATTCCGTAGGCTGGTCAGACGTTCTTTTAGTACTGACATTGAGAAGAATACCTGTAATCAAGAGGAAAGAATTAGCAGCCAAAAGAGTTGGAAACCTAGCAATGGTATTATACTTTAGGCCGGTTTTCACAACATTGTATTACGTGGTATTATCCACAGATAATGAAGGATATGAATTGATTTTAACTCATGTGTGGTCAGAAGTATTTTGGTCTTTTAACTTTAGACGGGAATATTTCAGCTTATGGTGAAAATACAAAAATAGGTAGATCCAGATCCCAATCAGTGATTTCCCACATCTTTTTTCTTATTTTACCAATAAGAAATATTGATCCCTTGGAAGCCACGGGACATTTATTTTTGCCTTGCTCGTGCACAGTCGTATTTCAAACAGCGGAGTGGTTGAATAACTGGAATTACCTTGGGCAGGACACGATGGTTATTCTCAATCTACCAGTTGTGCTTGCGAGCTCTGCTTGGAAATTTCGAATTCAAATAGCACTTAAAGAATATTGTGAACCCGCATGAGAGCGAAGAGATCTTTTTATGATCCTGTTCAGTTTTCAAGTCCTCAGTTATTCTAGTTATCAGAAAAACAGCACTAACGTATATTCTGAATACAATCGGCTCGAACATAACAATTAACAGAAGGACTTGGAAACATGACTCAACACAATCTTAATCAGGGAACCACTGTGTGAGTAGTGAAGTCTCCTTCAGTTATGAATACGAGAAACAGAAGAGAACCACAGCCGGCGAATTCTCCTTGTTTGCTTTGCTGTCGAAAGTGTTAATGATTCAATTTAGACAATAATGGTGGTTTTCTTCGACGAAAGGGTTTGGTGTCAAGATCAACAATATAGTGGAAGTCACGTTCATGAAGACAGGACCTCTTATTTACAAACCACACATCGTCAATTGTCGGAATGACCATGCTAGAATGTTGGAGTTATGCATATTTAGCTAAAAACTGAACAGTGCCAACAGCATAATAGAGGGACTGAGCAAGAAAAAAAAACAAAACGCGCTGGAGGATCTGCAGAAGAACGACATTTTTCAGACGATCGGAAATGTTACGTATTTAAAAGAAAATGGCCAGGGTTTCTTACTAATGAGCCCGGAGAAGTATGAGATTAACCTTTGGAAATATACAGAACTGGATGAAGACATTCCTATTGCTCGAATGATTTGCTAAATAACTAAGTAAACGGATGGTGCGGACGATTATGTTAATTTAGGCATTAACTATATTGCCGATTTACCACCACTAACTTGAGATTTTACTAGTATTTCGGGTCTTTGCACAACGTCACAGTACAGAACATTAGTAAAGCACAGGGAGGTAATAACTAAGAAGTATACGCAGTGCTAGTTAGAACCTAGGTTCCTTCATGAAGAACAAACAAACATACCTGTTGCTGAGGCCTAAAAAAGGTGGCAGGTTGATTAAGATCTCCAACCGATAACGCAGGTGTTTGTAATTCCTGTAATCTTCTAAAAATCCAGTTGCATTGATATTCAAGGGACTACAATGGCTACTTCACGCGACTATAAGGACATTGACTCCTTTTATTTTGTTTTAAATGCACTAGTTGATATTTACAAGAATATCAGGACTCAATATAAAATCTCTAAAAGCTCTCGACGCTGATCAATCCCTGAAGGATGCGCCATGCATTCGTCTTCATTAAGCACCGTTGGAGGAGACTGAATGCATATCTGGCCTTTACAGTGACTCGCAGTGGTCTACTGATGTATTAAGCCATTGCCACTATCTTCCGAGACAAGTCTGGTAGCAATTTGCCGACCCCGGATGGATCGAAGATTTGGTGAACCTAGGACGCAGGGATCGATCCCATGTATGTATTGCAGGGCGTCTCCGACCACTGCGCCACACACGCCTCTACTAGCAGCTGGACAGCGTTAACTAATAACCAAGAAGCGGAAATAGTCAACATGAAAAACTATACATGGGAGGAGATACTGTAGAGGCGCTTCGAAACCTCATATAACATTGATTTTTCTGGAATAATTCCAGCATTGTCGGAAAAAGCACATTATGGATAGCATATGGATAAAGGATAAAGCTCTCGGCCTTGATGCGACTTCACGAAGTATCGCTGGAGGTGATTGAATGCACATCTGGCCTTTACAATGTGACTCGCGGCGCCCTATCGATGCATGGAGCCAGTGCTACTATCCTATAAGACAGCTCTGGTACCAATTTGAGAACCCCGGAGGGATGGAAGGTTTAGCGAACATGGGCCCCGGGGATCGATCCCATGTGTACTGTAGGACGCCGCCGACCACTGCGCTACACGCGCCCCAGGAACTTAATACCATAGAATGGCGGTTACTTTAGGGTTACTTTAGTGGAAAAACGGTTTCCAGTGCTTACTATACAATTCTAAATTTCTGGAATCATCCTAATACTGGCACAACTTACCACTTTTTGCACATCTTTTTGGATTTCGGTTGATACTTCTTGCTGATCGATTGCTCTCTCCATTCGGTCAATGATAGCACTATCTTTTTCAATACTGTGTTCAAATGCACGTGATAGATTCCTCATTAACGGTGGATTGAACTTCCTCCTCTCCTGATTATTACTTAAAAAATCTAAAATCATCAAGCTCTGTGGTGTTATAGTGCTGTGGTGTTCACGTAAAAGTAAATAATACTTGATGTTCGTGAAGATCTGGATTCTTGTTTCGTGAAATTTGTTGGCCGCGGAGGAAGTCCTACAGAGTCCTCGCGAGGAATTGATTTGAACGAAAACTGGTCCAATTTTTTCAAGCGATCAGCTGAACTCTGAAAATGTAGTTCTTGTTATATGGATTAGTTAAAACGCGTACCATATATCATCCAGACCTGGCGAAAAAAAAAAATTCGGATACTAAGGTGCCTAATAGTTAAATCACAAACGTGAATACTGACGGACAAAAATAGATTAGATTTTGAGGTTCCAAACCTAGCTTGTTATAAGTTTGTTGGTCTTAAACGAGAAAGAGCTTAACTGGCTTGGGATATAATCGAACATGAGACGATAAAATTTAAGGCTTCATTAAGTAAAACAGATAACCTTTATCGACCCACAGTCTTCCGTCTTACACCGTTTGGGTTGAGGTACTCCAGAAAAAGACGAAGTTGTCTTCGCAGAATCCGATCTGAGAAGTGAGAACAGGGACAAATTTGAAGAAAGCGACTTGTTAGATTTGGATAATGCAGTACCGGCGGGATCACAATGCTCATTCTCTAGAACACAAAGCAACGTTTGCTAAAGAATAAACAAAACATGTTCCGATTAGGCGCGATAAGTTCCAATGAAATAAATTACCTTTGCTATTTTTATCTTCCACTGAAGTATAGGAACTCAGAAGAGGGTGAAATGTGGCAAGAACAGATGCCCTGATGAGGGCTAACAGCTCCTTCTCATGATCAAAAAGCACCATTCTTTTATCGGGCGTCACGTTAACATCAATCATTTCTGCAAACGTCGAAGTAATTAGTCATCGATAAATATTCGAAATGAGCTACACCTGGTGGCAATTCGATATAGAGCACCAGCGTTGGATATTGAGACCGATTGTACTGCTGATATACTTCGTTGACAACTCGACAAATCTACAATGAAACAAGTGAATAACTTACCAGCTTACCAGTGCTTTAAAGCTGCTGCATAATCAAATTAAACGTCACCCATCAATTGAACCGCTTTTCTTAAACTCACAAGTCACTCTAATTCCCCAATTCCAATGAAATTGGATGATCGAGCAAAAGCTAGTATGGCACTGGATATATATATATATATATATATTACAGAAAAACTGAAAGTTGAAAAGGATAAAATCTATAGAAAGCGATATGTACGAGGACAGGAAGTGTTGTGTTTTAGAAACTAATCAAAGAGTCATGACCAGACCACCTTCGGGTAATCAACTGCACGCCTGTTGACATAAATGAACTGTCGATCAGCCGTACTTCGTCCAAATCCATGTTCACAAGAGCTCACAAAACCACTTATTCTGAAAGATTTCAAATTGTCATCGTTGGATAAAACAATGAGGGTAGAAGAAAATAACGAATCTACATACACTATATCCGCATAGATTAAAGTGTTCTTTGGATCAAGTCCATAGATCGAGCATACTTCATTGCTTGGAAGGCATCGAACAATTTCAACCATCTTAGTTTTGTCAATACGACCACCGAATAGATTGAATACCACCTGCAACAGCAACAAAAGAACAGCTATTCACAACATCACATCCTCAACTCACCTCACGGGTAGTGGCTTTTCCTGGGGTACAAATTGACTGCACACGTTTACTGTAATAAAAACTACTGATTAAGAGTGGTTCTAGAAACTGGAACCATTTCGGAACATACCCGGCTAGACTGTTGCTGCATATGAACTTCACATCTGGACGAGAAAGCGAGAAACATTGCACAGTAGTAAGAATTTTACCAAATTGTTTCTTCGCTGTTATCTCAAATTCTTTCCTTCTCACTGGGAGTGTTTCGAAAAGATTTTCGACAACCACAGTGGTCCCCACCTGAAAGTGACCTGAGTTTAACTACAAGCTGAGCCTACAAAGTCCATCAGAAATTGATATCCGTAATGGCATTTAAGCTGGAAATTATGGAGTAGCAGAATCAAAACAGACAGACATATGTTCTTTGGTGGGAGATCCATGACACTCATACGAAGTTGAAATCCCTTCACACAATCAGAAACAAGTGTGCATAAAGAAGAGGCACATATTTAGCACATCGTTTTACGTGATATAACTAGCAAGATCGCACAATCCAAGAACAGATTTGTAAATTCAAAGACGTTTAAGAAAAATATATCACTGATTCAAATAAAAAATTGCCTGTCTAGCAACTGAAGACTGATCGACTATGTTTCCACTATGATCAAAGGACAGTTTCGTACCCAGCGAAGCAGAAGTGGAACGTGTAATGATTGTAACAGAACTGAAAATATTCCTAATATCGTCTATCAAAGGAAAAATGTAATGGTTATGGGCTAAAGGTCAACAATGTGATTTCGACTTCAGCCTCAGCTTAACTAATTTCATTGCCGTGATTATTGATAGCAGCGTTAGGTAGAAAACCAGCTCAGAGACAAGCAAAGCAAGGGCCTCCGTGGTGCACTGTGTAACACGCGAGCTCTCGGAAAAGGTAATAGTGGTTCGATCTGGCCCAGGGTCCAAGCCCGGCGAATATTTCAGCATCGTTGAGGTTATAGACTAAGATGTAAGCATTTAAATACAATTCACAGCGATTAAAGGGACTGAAATCTATAAACTTTTCTAAATTGTTCATCCAACACCTCCAATAGGCTCAACAATTTAAAAAGTGTATCAATTATTGACGAAGACGTTAAATGATTCTTGGTTCTTAACGGACTTACATAAGCTTATGCATTCGTAAAGCTTACCCAAGTGCGCAGAGAGCATTCAAAGCTTCACCACGAAAACCAAGTGTGAACAGTTTACCGAAGTCATTCAGTTCGGTGAGTTTTGATGTGGCATGAGGTTTACCTGAACTTGTTATATTTGAACAGTAAAATCATTGCATTCAGAAATCGGTATGCCGACTTTTGGTGTCCATAGTTTCTCTAGAAGCAAAACGAACTAGTAGAATTAGACAAATATCCACTCATAAGCTCGATTTCCACAGACTTCCTGCTGAATCAAGTCGTCTAAGGCACCAAGTTCTTGCATGAATTTACCAATTTTTCAAGTAAGTTGATATAGTAGAACCATAAAATAAAAAATGGAGGATAAAGCTATAGGGGTTGATCGATCCCTGAGCGATGCGCCATGCATCATTAAACATCGCTAGAGGTTAATGAATGCACAACTAGTCTTGACAATGACTCGCAGTGGCTTACCCATGTACAGAGGCGGTGTTGCCGTCCTCCCAGACAAGTATGGAACTAATTTACCGACCCCGGAGGGATGGAAGGCTTGGTAAGCCTTGAGCGCAGACAACGATCCCATGTATATTGCACAGCGAGTTTGACCACTGCGCTATACGCGCCCTTTGTAGAACTACAATATATAATAAGATTCATAGGTATCATAAAGCCATCAGCGAGAACTCTACGGCCAACTAAATAGTACGAAAGTTGGCCTGATATCTGAGCAAGACTGAGAATGTCCCATCCAGTTTAACAAATATCGAAGCTTCTGATGAACACTGTGGCACACAATTCATCAGACCTTAACGCTTGAGAGAACCTTATCATACCGAAGACTTCCAAATAAGTTAACAAACGTTTTTAATAAAGGTTTATATGCGACAAAGACTATAAAAAAAGAGTTAAACAAATAAGTGATAACCGAACCACGTTTTCTAGCATTTTTACTTACATCCACATTCCAGACAGTGCAGAACACTTGAACTACTCAAAGATATCCTCGCTCTTCTTCGGCAACAAAAGAAATGTGCAAAGAGACAGCAACAGAAGTGAAGGAATGATAACAGAGGGATACGAATTCTGTTTCCTCAGATAAAACCAACAACGAGCGTTTACGAGAATCACTTACAGAGCGAGTCGAAGCTCTCGGGTTCGATTCCAGTGCCGTCGTCGATAACCTCCACAGATTCGAAGCCATTGTTCTTGGCGCGAATTTCTATAAAGACAGCAATTCATAAACAGATCACAAGTGTAATCATTTTCAAACTGATCTCGGTAGTAACTATCATTACGTTCCTGGACTTTTAAACCTCATTTTTACAAATAGCTTTACAATCCAAAAAAACAAATTTAATGCTCTAAACAAGTTAAATTTTCACCAATTACTTGTGCACATCCATCAAGTGAATTGTCGATCAGCTGTCTAACAGCACAACTGACGGAAACGATCACCTAAAGTGAAGAATGAGAGAAATCGACGAAATTTAATACAGTATTGTTAATGAATACCTGCGCTGTACTGATACGTGCTGATACGTCACTTGAAATGTGATGTACTTCTCGGTGAGCTGTACTGGGTTCATTCATGAGTAATACAAACTGAAAGCAAACGTGGTCTAGAGGTACATTGGAAACGAAAAGGTCCATTTTTCACAAACGAATTTAAAATATAGCACAATAGAGCAACAATCGAGGCTTCATAATCACAAGGACAGTTCTGCATCAGCGAAATTCGAAGCCTTTCCAACTCCAGATCTATTCGTTTTCTTTCATTGCTCAAGTTCTCAGCATACAATAACTTATATTCCTGTCTTCTTTTTAACATTTACTAGTAGTTCCGACTAACAGTCCACATATTCATCAAGATCTATGACTAATAAAGCCTTCGCAAAGCAACACAAGCTATTAACCTAGGCCGATGTGCAGATCAGTCGTACTATGTGTTTCGTCTGTAAACACGGCATATAGTTCCGGTTCAATTAGATCAGCTACCGTTGCAGTTTATCAACTCCATGGGTTTTGTGCACTGTAGATTCTTCGTATATTATTATTATTATTATTATTATTATTATTATTATTATTATTATTATTACTTTTGTTGTTACTATTATTGTTATCACTGTTGATACTGTTAATGTTACTGTTCAGGTCAAAGGATTATTATTGTTTACTAGTGTTATTACAGGGCAGAGGATGAAGCTTCGGGCCTTGATCAATCCCTAAGGGATGTGCTATATATTCGATTTCATTTAGTATGGTTAGAGCTGAATGGATGCACATCTGGCCTACAGAGTGAATTGCGGCGGTCTACTAATGTAAGAATTCAGTGCTGTTATTCTCATGAGGAACGGATTGATTACGTATGCCCCATTCACGCTCAACGGAACGAATATCTCCGAATGCTCCAGTCACGTCTATCTAGGTCGAGAAATCAGCGTGATGAACGACTTAGCACCAGAGTTGAGCAGGAGGAAACGCGCGGCTTTGGGAGCTTTCAAGAGCATCGGGGATGTGGTGAAGAGAACAAAGAACACCCGACTCCGTGCTCATCGTTCCGACTCAATGTTACTTCCTACCTTAACGAATGCGTGAGAAACCTGGTCGCTGCGTAAGCAGGATGGAAGATCACTCAGCGTTATTGAACGCGCAGTCGAAAGGACGATGCTAGGAGTATCGCGTGTTACACAAGTAATGGAAGGGTTCCGAATCTCCGACCTGCGTCAGTAATCAGAAACCAAAGATGCCGTTCTTTGCGCCAAACTGTCGAAGATAAGATGGGCCAGATACGTAATGCGTACGAATAACAACCGATGGACAATAGCGGTTAGTGACTGGATTCCTCGGGGTGCCAAACGTTCTGCAGGAAGACCAATAACTGGATGGTCAACATTCTTCACGACAAGCTTGGAAGAAAGGTTTGATGCTCAACGAGTCCCTAGAGCGAACAGAACTTACTGGGCTACTCTTGAACGCTACAGGGAAGAATGGAAGATTTACTGGCTAGTGATCCAAGAACTCTTCAGCCTGGCCATCTCAGGACTCCAGTGAAGACCAACTCGACTGGCATTCTACGACATCCAAGATGAAATGAAAACTCTCAAGCAGCAGCCGGCACGCGTAAAAGTTGCAGGATCTTAGTGGATAATGGTTGCGAGCAAACGAATCGAATGCGGGAAGTACTGGGACCCGCACAGTAGACGTGAGCAGGTGTCGTATAAAATAAGATAGAGAAAAAAGCGATCGCCTCCTAGGATAGGATAAAAGAGTAAAGTATGGAAAGCTTGGTGAGCCTGGGGCACAGAACCGAATTAGTGTATTGTGGGACACCCCTAAATGCATTACAGGGGCCTTATTAATGCGCGCTTACTGTTGTTTTGTCCCATAAATGTTCTCCACTGAAAGATACCTTAACCATCAAGCGCAATGGTGCATGGTTCGTCGCTATCAAGCCGATAGGGAATTGAACACAAACGAAAAGCAACATTCTACTTGCGTGCCCTGAGACAAATATCATGCTGCAGTGTCTTTTTCTGCTATTACGGATTGACATATACCTCAGACTTATCTGGGCTTATCCTTGCTTCGATCATCCGCGGAAGTTTTCTTATTTTGCATGTGTGTACGATTGCTACTATAGTATTTTTGGTTTTCTTTATGAATATCGTTGAATGCTGGTCGAGTCCGTTCTCTCTAGAACACTAGGATAGCTGTGCTAGGGCTTTGCCGGATCTGTGCCACACGAAGGCGCCATTTTCTGTGGATTGATGGAAACTAGTTGGTCCTATACGAATCTGGTACCAATTTCCGGATTCTTTAGGCATGGGAAGCTTGGTGGACCGGGGCAGTGTCCAACTAGCGCGTTACTAGTATCGATTGAGCATCACTACTGCTGTGCTACCCGGCCACTGTCCTGGTTTTAATAGTCGAAAGTGGTAGAAATAATTCGCCTCATTCATCTGATCTCGAATAAGACACCGAAGCGATAGTGCTAGGTAGGACAAGTGCGGAGAGGCTGGTGAAATCTCTGAGCCTACTCTGTTAAAGATTTGTTGTTACAACACTGGTACACTTTCATTTGAATCCTTCATCACGGAGCTGATATATGAAGTTGATTAAGAATATCGACTCTTTTGGAGAAATAACAGCGCAGACACTTAAGAGATGTAGACTTATGACTTAGACTTATGACACTTATGACTGTTGGCTTACACGTATGTTGGCTTTTTCTACTTTTGACAATCTTTTTATTTTCCAACATCAAGATATGACGAAGACGAGATCGAAGCATTCTTTATAGACTTTCTGCAGCAGTGAGCTTTTTTGATATAATTCTGTGTAGCAACTTCAATGTCAGGATTTTATTCAGAACGTCTGAAAGATGTCACCTTAAAATCCACAATGAAATGAACATGATGAACGACTGTCTGATTTTATCTCAGTGAACAACAATGTTTACGATAATTCCAAAAGCTCCTCTAGAAGTGTGGGATTCCGTTGACCACGAACACGGAGCTTATTCGACCCCTCCCCGTGCTCACCAAGCCTGTCATACCTCTGTGGTAGGGAAACTGGACCAAACTTGTCTATGAACTGTTTATTCGCTGCAAAACAAGTGGGAACACTGGCTCAGCTATGTCAGGACTCCAACGAAAATCGGGTTAACAAACATTCAAAGATGTTCATGACGAAGCTGAAAATCTTCAACTTGCAGTCGAATTCACACGTGGAGAGCTTGAAGAGCTTCATAGATGATGGATGCGAGGAAAGGAATGAGTATCCGCGCGGTAAATGTGAAGACGGGACGTGAAAAAAATTCGCCTCTCTTTACATTTTTTGCTTCACTGGAAGAAGAACTGGCTGATCGGCGACCGACTTGAGCCAGCGCCAGTAAGTCTTCCATTTTCCCTCGCTGATGTAATAATGGGTTTGTTTTCTTGTTTTACCAGTGGGTTCTGCTCGCTCTGGGGACTCCTTGAGCACCATATCTTTCGGAAGAAGTCTCACGATTAGGTCGGTGGTGCTGTTGCAGTACGTTTGACATCCCGAGGAATCCAGTCACTAGCAGCTCTTGTCCATCGGTTGTGTTTCATAGCATTGCCGTGTCCTGTACACCTTATCTTCGACAGTTTGGAGTATAGAACGACGTGTTTGTTTTTTGATAGTTGATGTAGAATGGGACATCGGATCCTTTCCTTCGCTTGCGTTATTTGGGTTACTCTACGCATCTTCGTTTCGACTACGTGCTCAATAACGCTGAGTGATCTTTAACCTTGCTTGCGTATCGACTAGGTTTCTGAGGCATAAGTTAAAGTAAGATGAATCTTGTAATCGAAAAGGTGGGCGGAGATTTCGATGTTCTTTGTTCTTTTCACTACATCCTCGATGCTCTTGAAAGCTCCTCAAGCCCCTTGATTCTTCCTGCTCAACTCTGGAGCTCAGTTGTTCTTTATGTTGGTTTCCCGACCTAATAGACCTTTTAGAAGCATTCGGAGATATTCGTTTCGTTGAGCGTGTTTGGGGCATGCGAAACCGATCGGTTCCTCATTAACATCGTTTTTATGGTATATAATCGAAGATCAATCTTTCCACGGGCGTTATCTTATTCGTTCCGCTTGACTAATGCTTGGCAAGATGATATCACCGAGCCTCACCACTCTTTTGACGTCGATGTTATTATCTTTACATAATGCTGATAATTTGGTTGTGAAGTTTCTATATAGCTCGTGAAGAAGTTTTATATTCTGAGCAGGAATGCCCTAGCTGTCCATGGCCTCCATGTCTGCTCCTATCTCAACTGAGTCAAAAGCTTTCTTTCCATTAATGAAAGTGAGCCAGAGCGGTCTCTTTTACTCTAGCTACACATTAATGAGTCTTGTAATGGTGTGGATGTGGTTCATCGTGCTAAATGTTTTTCGGTCCCCTGGCTACTCAAATAGCTGCCCTTCGTCCATTGTTCTATCAATCCTATTTAGAATGACTCGTGAAGGGTTGATATTTGTTCGGATCATTGGCGGGCTTTTGTAAAAATACTGTTATTAACACATCGACACCATCGATAAGGAACACGTCCAGGTGGTCCAGCATATTTTCGAAAGTGCTAAATAATCGAGAGTTCAAAGGTCACAAAGACAAGGAGCCGTCTGTCTCCATAAACACTCGTGCTGATATGCTAGCATGGCGTCAGATTATTTGCAGACAAATACCACCTTATGTCCAAGTTGGAAATTTCTGCAGAGAAGCGAAAAGAGGTCTGATGCAGAAGAGAACACCAGTGTTGCAAAATCTGCAGAACTTAGGAAGGCCATCACTAAAGTTCCCTGAGACTTCCCCGACTACAACAAAATGGATGCCGTCATCCTGCGCTCAGAACAAATACTCGTTGCATGAAGACGGCAATGGAGAAAATCGCCTACAGTTCTGCAGCTATATCGTCATCGTGTCTCCGCATTAGTTTAGCTATGATGGGAATAAGGTGGATGTCTTTCCAGTGGTTCTTTCTTCTGAGCTCCGACACATTATATTGTGGGAGAAAATCCATAAAACACTCGGTCCGTACAAGATTTGACTCTTACCTTTGAAGAAACTAG